TTCGCACTGTTGCCGATGTTGGTATTACAGCATTCATAGACTTTAGAATTCGTGAACTGACCTTGATTTTTCTGGGCCGGCAGTTGAGACATGCTAAGGTCTTAGAGCTTCGCGCCTGGGGCTTAGACGCCGACGATAATCGCCGCTTGGGTCCTCCAGATTTTCGCAAGCGAGGGTCATCCCCATACGGGTTTTCTATGTCGTCTGAGACTGGTTGAGGAGTTGTGAGTGAGTTTTTAGTCGTGTCCTCCGAAGGATCCACCGATAGGGGCGAATAGCTGGTGTCAAACGGCCTTGCAAGCATGATGAATGGGTCGGTAAGAGCGTCAGTATGAGTTGATGTCTCAGCTTCAGAGTTCGTCAACGTCAGAGAGAATAGGAAAATGCGTGCGGGGGAGGGATAGATGAGAAATGTTCTCTCACCCTCAAAATGCTGCATGTCTCCCTCGGCCACTGATCAGCACAAAATCGCGGAGAAACCGGGGTCGTCTTTTGTGGAGAGGAAGGGCCCAACTAGGTGGGTCCAGCCAATTATCAATTATCGTCCAGGTGCCTACCAGGAAGTGGGTCCCGGCCACAAGGCCGAGACACTTCAGGGGCCTGGATCCGGACCCGCTCCTCTTAATGAGCTCCTGTTGTTCGTCTCATCGCCCTGTCTAGTTATCGCGAGGATCAAGCATTCTTTCTGTCTTCAGCAGTGATAAGAGCTACTTTCAGTCAGACGCTAGACAAGAAAGAGACAACATGCAGCACGCGTAAGGGACATGTTGTTCGGCAGATGTCGCGGATGAACGGCAACGTCGTATCTCACGGAGATCAATCACCGAGCGCCTCAAACCTTGCTAACCAAACTTGATCAGCTCTTGCCCACATCCAATGGGACTCTTTCAAGTAGGGCGTGGTGAAATAATCCGGAATGGTGCGACCAATGCCTCTAGCTATGGCTGCCCTGCACGAATTAAGACTCCGTGTCATCAGAAAAAGGATCTGGATGGATGAAGCTATGAATAAGTCTCCTCATGCAGGCATTGTTCTGATCGCTCTCATCATATGTCTCCATTCACCGTTTTCGATCGGGCTAAAGTGCCGTTCGCCATAGGTGGTGTACCACCCCAATCTTTCATCCATACATTTAACATGACCTTGATGAGGCCACTTTTGATCACATCAGGGGCTGTAGCCATGCTTCTGCTAGCCGCCTGCGCCTTGCGGGTGTCAAATTCCAGACCGCCGTCGTGTCTCTGTTCCTTGCTGCCGTATGACTTTTCCCAGAAATCAATCAATTTAATCGCTGGACAATGTAAGCTTGCCGTCTCAACTCCCTGTGTTGTGCTGTAGTTTTTCAGGCTCGCAATCCACTGCGCAAAGGTCACTGTCTCGAATTTGAGCCCTGCACCTGCGAGTGCCGGCAATAGATCCGTTGCCCAGGAAAAAGAGAACCTGCTACACATGTTGTAGATTAGCCTTTGTGGCTGTTGAAATTTCGGCATTGTAGCAATCTCAACAATGGCTTTTGCCAGAGTATCAACCGGAATCCACGAACACTTCTATTTACGCAAAGTCAGAAACAGAGCGTGTCGAGTCACCATTGACTTGAAATCACTCACCATGTCCAGGCAGGGTAGGCTCCCTATACTGAGCGCAGAGCGTATCATCAGCGGGACAGCTTCGCCCTGATTCCAAAGCCCATGCTTTGTGTCTCCCACAATCTGACCAATTCGCAAATTACATGCCAAAGCCCCAAAGTCTTCTGCTGCCCTTTGCACAATATACTCGGCAACAAGCTTCGACTGGGTGTACCCGTTGCTCATCCCTTGTCGAAAGTCCATGATGGGTTCTTCTGCGATCCGCTTTTGGCCTCGCGTGCTTAGTGCAACACCCATTGAGGAACAAAACATCACGCGAGCAGGGTGGAGCAATCGCACATCCAAAGACAGCTGGATCAACCTCTGGAGATCGTTGAAATGAGGCCGAAATGACGCCAGGGGCAGGTGAAAGTTGACGGGCCATGCAGCATGAATGATAAGGGTCAGACTGTCAAGGAGTGTTTCTCTTGTGGCACTTTCCCAGCCTAACCAAAGATTCCCTGCCTTGCTGGTGATAACCTTGACCTTTTCCGCGAAGTTTCGCGGCATGAGGAATCGCCTGCTGAGAGACTCTTTCAGTCGCTTGGCAGCGTCCTGACCCCTCACTGTGCAATAAATTACTGCAACATCATCCCGTTCAATCAGAAGAGCAAGGATGTGAGCACCTAGTGAGCCTGTAGCGCCTGTGAGAAGCTAGATCAATTATCAGCATTTAAAGCAAAAGACAGTGGAATAACACGCTCTCTTACGACTGTTTCTCCGCGGGAGCAGACGTCCTCTGAGCCCCTGTGTAGACGAAACTCCCCATACTCTTCAACCATGGAAGCCATTTCGTCAATCATGGTCTCTGGGACGGACGAAGCCGCAGCAGAGCTCTGGTTTCCACGGCAACTAGACATCAAACGCGCTGCCAGGCGCTGGACGGTGCCATATTCGAATATTTCCTCCACAGATAGCGTTATGTGTAGATCCAGCCCGGGGTCTTGAGCGATAGCATTCCGAAGCCTAAGCGCGATTAGACTATCCATACCGGCAGAGTGGAAATCATCGTCGATACTCGAGACCAGGATTCCTTGTTGTTGAACCAGCCTGAGGAGGCGTTTTCGTAGCTGGCTACCGTCAAGCAGAAATTCGTGTCGCGGATATTGCCCATTCCGGAGCCTCTTGGTCTGGTCTGGGCTTGTTGATTGAAGCAGGCTTTGAACCATCAGTCGTAAGTCTCGTTTGAGCACCTTTCCAGAACTAGTTTTCGGCCAGTCCTCAATTCCAAGCTCATCTAAACTGATCACTTCTTCTATCGCATATGCAGGGCCCATTTTTTCCAGAACACATCTCTGAATGTTGATGGCAGCGTCTCTGTCTTCTAGATGCTTGACGACAGCAACGGGAACCTCTCCAGCAATTTCGTCTGGGATTCCGATCACCTGAGACTAGTGATATTGTTATGATGAGAATTTCAATCCACAAGACTAGTCCAGTCACTTACATCTATACCCGTACTTTCAGATATTGCGGCTTCTACCGCAGCAGAGGCTATATTCATGCCACCCCTGATGATCATGTCTGCATCGCAATCGATGAGCACCAAGTCGCGTCGAGCAGCCAATTTGCTCATGTGGAACTTACCTTTATACCTTCCCACTATTGCAATTCTTCCGTTCGCCAACATTGTCGCTTGATCGCCACACCTATACCACGTTTCACCGTCCGCGGTGAAAAAGTTATCTTTCCCTTGACCACCCAAATAACTCTCGATTTTCTGCAAGCCGCCTTGGACTATCTCACCCGGAATTCCTCTGGGGAGCGGTTCAATCCCATCCGGTGCACAGATCCTGATCTTGCTACCTGGATTGGCATAACCCGCATAAATTGGATCATCCAGACTAGCCGGAACGCAATCTAAAGTCTCCGAGCAGACTGAAGTACCCTCCGTCATGCCAAAGAAGGGACTGAAGCGCGTGCATTTCAAGAACAAAAATGCTTTTTCGACATGGGACCGTAATATTTTGCTCCCACCTACAATAACATGGTCGACACCTCCGACAGAGTGCTCACTCAGTAGCGGAGACGATGACAACAGATCTATCATGGAGGGTACAGCGAGTACGTCGGTGTACTCTCCTGACTGAATTGCCTTGGCGATAGACGGGACATCAAAATTGTAATTGACGTGTGTAACGCTTCCTCCAGGTATGAGATATGCAAGCGTCCAAGAGCTGCCGACAATTGAGTTCATGGGAAGAATCTGGAGCCACTTGCGACTTGAATCCAGTTTGAATGCTTCTCCCCAAGATCTGATGTTGCAAGTGAGCGATTTGTTGGTATGCGGTGCTGCCTTTGGGAGCGCTGTTGTGCCTGATGTGAACCAGATGAAGACAACGTCATCGACATGACGAGGAAGTTTGTCGAGGGCCCGCTGTGTGTCTTCGAAGGTTTCGTCCTCGGCCGCACTCGACACAAGGTCATTCAGTGAAACGTAAGAATTGATTGTAGACATTGGTCCCGCCACGGCCTTCACCTGCATATCCCGCATCAAATCAGGTGCAGTTTGTTCGAGTCTCTCAGCGATTGAACCGTCCTCCACAATGACAGCACTAGCGCCCGACAATGTCAGCATGTGCCTGATCTCCTTGCCATTTTGCGGTGCTCTCAGGTTGAGCGGTGTAAATGGACATTTCATTCTGACTGCTGCGCGCAAAAGCATGTGAAATTCTACTCTTCCACTGAGTAGTGCGGCAATTGTTGCACCAGGACTCAGTCCCTTCTTCATCAATGCATGAGCGAGAAGATCAGCGCCGTACTGAAGCTGGGAGTGGGTCCATTTTAGATACAGAGTCCTCTCCGCAGCATTGATTCCGGAGCTGTTGTAGCCGTTTACTGCTGGGAAAAGGTCCACAGGTTGGTGTTTGCACACCATCGCCACCTTGTCTCCATGCTCGGTGACTGATGAAATAATCAGATCGTGAAGAATGGGAATGGGAATTTCGAGGTGCGGTCCTTCTACCTCGGAGAACTTGTCGGTCAACATCTTGTAGCCTGTCAAGTCGAATCCACAAAATTCCTCAGCGCGTGAGACAAAGCAATATTATGGAGTTTTATATGATCACCATCTAAGAGGTTAATTGCTGAGCAGACTGCGGGGCTCCAGGACCGGCGAATGTTCACCGTTCGAGGCTCAGGGTCGGGGAACAGGATATGAGTTTGAAGCCGGCCTATTGAGATCTGTTTTCAATGCCAGACTACCACCCTGCTACTAAGGAAGAGTTTCGGCAACATAGTGCGAAGGTTTAGAAATTTCAAAATAGTCAGGATGTGCCTCAGAATGGTAACAAGTCTGTGAGAAATGGAAGCCATCTAGAAAGGAGCCAGGTGACGATCTACAAGAAGTCGTCGGCACCGGGATATATATCTATCTCAAAACACCACCGCCATTCTTGACTTGGACTTCCCGCTTTTCATCAGATCCATCATCTCGTTGATTTGGTCAAGCTTGTACAGCTCGACTTTCGGCTTGATGTTATGCTTTGAAATGAACTCGACTGCACGTGGCATCTGTTGTGGAGGACCCGTACTTTCACTTCTGATTTGATATAGCTTCCTCATCAACTCTAAAGCAGAGAATTGAAGCGGTTTCGAGGGAAGTCCGATCACCATCAGAATACCACCAAGGCGCAGGACTTTGGTGGCGCTATCGTAGGCGGCTTGGGCAGCGCTGAAGACTACAGCAGCGTCCGCGCCTCCGCCAGTAGCATCCCTTATTTTCTTCTCGAACTCGGCATCTTTGCTGTTGACCGTGACATCTGCCCCGTTCTCCTTTGCTGCTGTAAGCACCCCATCGTTGATATCGAGACCCACGACGTTCAAGCCCATGGCTTTGGCGAACCGAATGCCCATCTGTCCAAGACCCCCGCAACCCACGATAACAATCCATTGGCCCCGTTTGAGACCACAGGAATCGACTCCGTGAAAAGCTGTCGCCCTCTGGTCAGTACAGGTGACAATTTTAAAGACGATGGAAAGCAGATGCGAGTTACCTGTAATACCAGCACAGAAATATGGTGCTGAGGTCTCCATCGGAAGATTTTCTGGGAGAATAATGGCGTTACGATAATCCACTGCGGCATACTCTGCAAAGAAACCGTCGGACTGGAAACCCTGAAGTTTGGCGGTGCCTAGCGTACAGTTGAGATTGTGCACCATGCATCCTTCGCACTCGACTATCATAACATTAGCAAGCAGTGTCGCGCGATCGAGCGACAGAAAAGGCAGGCTCAGTCAACTCACAGCAGACCCCTTTAATATAGAGAAACCCTATGCGATTCCCAGGTTTGAAACCCTTCACATTGGAACCCAGCCTCTCTACATAGCCTACGCCCTCGTGGCCCATCACTACTGGCTCCGTAGCAGGAATTGACCCATCAAACAACATCAGATCCGAGTGACACAAGCTGGCGGAGGCTATCTTGACCAATATCTCATTGTCGTTGATGCTTGGGATCGGAATCTCGTCTATCGTGCACTTATTCGTCTCCTGGCGGATGTTAGTACTGATCTTTGATGGTTGAGACTGACAAACAGGATGATAACGAGCCGCCTTCATCGTCGGGGTAGCCATCTTCGGCACGAATCTCAGATTAAGATAGTAGCCGGTCCCACTAGCTAAACAAATTGGAAGAATAGAATATCAATGAGCTCTCAGCCTACGAGTTAAGATCACCAGTAGGTTTCGAGCATATATTAACAAGCAGGCACACGGCCTCTGCGGATGGAATTCAGGTAGTCGCGCAGCAGTGATTGAGAATAGAGCTCAGCTCAAATAGTTGCGACAGTCTTCTCCACAACCCGTTAATATTCTCGATCTCGATCGTGGCTCAGAGGGTGAATATTACCAGGCCATGAACAGAAGCAAGCAACAATGCTCACATTCGCACAGCCGGTATTTGATCTCCGTGTTATGTGGGGTAAATCTCCACACACGAGGCTCAAAGCATGAGGGGCAGAGAAGACAGAGAGCAAATACGAGTATTACTCTCTAGATCAGGCATGTTGGCCTCGGTTCTTCCAGAAAATCTCGTTATTCGGCAAGGAGAAGCCTTGGGCAGATCGCTCTGATAGACTGTAACTTTTCGGGCAGAAGTTCTCCATTGAAGTACTCCGGATTAAGAGTATCATCCTATTAAGTCATGCACCACATGCTAACCCATGGCCCTGCCGCTGGAGATTGACCCTCCTATGTCCTCAGTGCATTGATAGCAGCGGCCAAACATACAGAATCCTGCGGAATAATTGTACTAGTATGTTACAACCAAGATAGGTGGGAGTACGTGGCTGTCAGACTAGCAAATTTAAAAGGGCCAATAGGGTTGTTAAGTCGCATTAACGGGAGAAGAAGCACTGATGTGCAAATGTCTAGAAAGGGTCCCTGCAGGGTGCATGAGGAAAAGCACTACACCTCGCGAAAGACACGGGCCGAGACGCGGATGACCGGGTTCAAGAGTGGTTTGCCAACTGCGATCCAGGGAGGTTATCAATTTCGACTCGCACATGGACTATTATTTTCAGGAAAAGCTCTCCATCGTTATAGAGAACACATACAACATATCTTACCCTTAGGGTGCGTGGGCCAAGTTGTTGTACGAAGGTTGAGTTATGGACCTGTCTGGTTGATTGTGTTCTGTCCCCCTGGCTATTCAGAGAGACTCTGCCTATTTATATACACTTTGGCCTGTGTTCTGAAGGCCGTTCCTGAAACCTCCCATTCCGTCGCCATGCTGTTACAGGTCGGTGGGAACAACGGTGTTGAGGTAAGTACCGCAATTGGTGTGACAGCTCGCGTCTCAGGTGGTTTGCCACAGTGGCTATCTTGCAACCCTGTCAACACCATTCGACAGAGAAAAGCCAGGCCAGTCTTGATATTTTATCAACTGGCTGCGGAAGCTGCTGTCTGGCGGCTCGGCCGAATTGCTGGAGATTTCTTGGGCGGCTTTCATTTGCCGATCTTAGGCGGACCCTGTGCGCTGACATTAGTGCGTGGCTGAACAGAACTTGGACTCAGACCCAACCGGGGCGAGTAAGAGTGGATCCGGGTATGTGAACTAATACTTCCGGTATCTCGCCTCTTCAACTATTGCGCTCTGCGGGTGAAGCCGTTGATGCGTGTGTCCGAATCTGGGTTGTCTTTCGTCTTTTTTCTGGTCTCTATGACACGCTTGCTGCTGGATTAGCAGGAGAGTCATGTCCTGGCCAGGCAGACGGAGATCAGGGTTCGATATTTCCTCTCCCGGACAGTGAGTTTGCGCAGGAATTACACTGGGAGTTAGAGCTGCGCATGTATTAACTTATCCCTCCATCTGCTCAGTGGTGCATATCTAGCTTCTACGAGATCAACATACTGCGGTTGGCCCTTTTCTCCGGCCTTGAGAAAATGGCTCCCGCCGACCATAGGGCTAAGGCCACCCGATACAATTTTGCGGCAGCCTTCTACGTGGCCCTGGGTTCTTTTACATATGGCTTCAACTCGGATATCATCAGGTCAGTGATTGGAATGCCGTCATTCTATAGCTACTTCGATTTTGTAGCAACCGGTGTCTACAGTGGCTCCATCATTGGTGCTTGCAACGGGCTCTAACCGGGCGCCGGCGTGTTGGGCCGTTGGGCTGTCTTTTGGTTTGCAGACAAATTCGGTCGCAAACTTGCAATTCAGATCATTGCGGCAGTTTGCATCATGTCAGCAGCCATCCAAGCTGGTTCTGTGCATATTGCGATGTTCCTTGTTGGAAGAATGCTGAATGGTTTCGGCGTGGGGATGATCAACTGTGGCATCCCCACATACATATCTGAAATCGCCCCTGCCGCTCAGAGAGGCCTCGTTGTGGGCTCTCACGGCTTTATCATCTGCAGCTCCTATGTACGCGAAATATTCCAGACCTTGGACTCCACATATACTGATGGACACCTAGGCTATGGCCGGCTGGGCTGGATTTGGAATCTACTACAAGAACAACCCTAACATCCAGTGGCGACTTTTAGTTGCACTTCAAACTGTCGCTCCCATACTACTGTTCATTGGCAGTCCTCTGATTCCCGAATCTCCACGATGGTTAATTGAGAATGGACGAGCACAAGAAGGCATGGCTGCCCCCTACAGATAAGTTCACCCTACTAAGAAAGATGAAACAGGCTTACAACTTCTTATCAGGCTTCACAAGAGCAAGCTGGACCCCGACGAAATTGGAGCAAGAGAGGAATTTGTCAAAATTCAGAGACAACTAGCACTTGAGCGTTCGAACAGAGTATCAGGCCTTACACAATTCCATCATACAGGAAACTCCCGTTTTACGGATTTTTCCTCCAAGCCATGTGTCAACGCACGGGCGTCCCCGTTATATCTAACTATATAGTGAGAATCGTTCAATGGTAGTTTCCAATGCACTAATTAACCTACTTTAAAGGTAACAACGCTAGAGAACCTTGGGTTAAGTGGCTCTACTCCGCTCCTAGTTCTTTCATTCTACAATTCTTGGGCAGCCGTGCTGAATTACATCAGTGCTCGCATCTTGGACCGCTTTGGGAGCGTCAGAACCGTGATCACTACTATGGCGAGTTGATTGAAGACCAATGTTACCATAATATGCTCTAACATTGATAGGCTGGGGCTATTTTGTGGGTCTGCATTGTTACAACCCTCGTTGCTAACTATGGAGGTCCAACAAATACCAACAAGGGTGGCTCTGGTGCTGCTGTGGCTTTTGTCTTCTTATTCGTCCCATGTTACGGGCTGAGTGTCAACGTCACCAGCTGTGTCTATTGTGGTGAAACATTCCCAACCCATATGCGTACGCGAGGAGTAGGTTTCTCCGTCAGTGGGCTATTTTTGACGACATCAGGTAAGTACAACAGCCCGAGACCACCTTCTTCATTACGCATGATAGTCTGCACGACTACTGCCGGTCCGGCCTTCAACCATATCGGATGGAGATTCTATTTGGCCTTCATCATTGTGACATCCCTGATGCTACCGTTTGTCATACTATACTTCCCGGAAACCAAAAGTCTCAGTCTCGAGGAGATAAGTGTACTCTTTGGGGATGAAGTGGCGCTTGACTTAACCCATTTGTCAGAGGAAGAAAGATCCTCTTTCGACAAGAATATCACAGAGAATCTCCACGTTACGTACAGCGACAAGGAATAGGGTGCATCCGTGAAAAATGAGAGCACTCAAGTGATTGATTGTTCGGAGGAGGAGGGTGGTGTTAAACAGCCGCAACGATCTCTGTTTACAAATGACACCGAGATCAAAGGGTTGAGTACGCAGTAACCATTGGCCCAGAAATAAACCTTCAGCTTGTCAATGTCGGCATATGACTATGGATCTTCCAAAGTGCTTATTAATGCGACTGCAGTACTTAGGAGGCTTGTGGACGGAATAATTGAATACTTCTTGGAAGAGGAATGTACTCTTGTCTCTCACAAAGGGGTAAAAGCGGAATAGGAAGAGGAATGGGATCTTGAGAAAGATGCCAAGTCGTATTTCTTCTTATCATCCAATGGGTCTGGGATTGAACTGTCTCATTTATGCCTTTCGAGAAGCCGATTCGTTCAAATATTCTCCCAGTTGGGCAGCCGCAATTGTGTATACATTGCCCATGTTACAGAGACAATCCAACAACTTCTCGACGTCGATGTATGTCAGAACTCAGAAGGCACTACTGCACAACGCATATACCACCTCCTAGTCAGAAGACGTGCTACGGAATCATCTTTGCTTTTCGCATCCTATCGAAAGTATCACCCCACGTCTCCATGACTGAACTCCTTTCATGGAACCCCGCATTCTGAATCTTGGTCAAGTCGTAGTGTCGATCGAAATCGGCGAGGGTCAGGTGGAGGATTTCAAAACCCGGCATGGTTATTCCTGACTGAGCGATATCCGTCCGAAGATGGTATTTCTCTTCCAGGGCTTTCCATTCGGGAAGATTGTCGTTGATATATGCTCGAACTTCTCTAGATCGATCATCAGGCGGAGCCGATTTCAGCCCGAAATACGCGCAAAGTTGTGGCCATTTCTCTTCCCAGGTCTCATACTGGGGAGATGACGCCACATTGAAGGCCTCTCCGTTGCCGCTCACATCGTGGTGCAAAGAAAGAAATATTGTTTGCTTGGCAATCATGTCGCTGCCGGCCTCGTTGTGTTTTGCTCTCCAGCTTTTCATGGTCCCTGGAAAGGGGACTACACTGCCGGAGCCGTTAATTTCCTTCCAAAGGGAGAAGTAAATGCCCAAAGAAGCCGCCAAGGAGTAGGCAGAATGGTTTGGAGCGAATCCAACAATGATATCTGGTCGGGTTTCGCACCACGTCCATGACTTTCCCTTGGAATATTCGCTCAACCAATCGAGCTGAGCGTGGTAAAAGAGTTGGTCACTATAAGGTGGCTTAAGTCGAGGCAAAGACTCTTTCAGAGGGACAGGAAAGTAATGGTCTTCTTGAAGAAGAAACCCGTACATCTGTGGAAGGGTTAATCTTGGAACTTGAGGTAAGCCAACCACCTACCTTTGCGCCGGTTTGGAAGGCGATACATTCTAAAACTGGAGAGAGCTCATCCACAGCTATGATTGACCGAGAGAGCATATCAACAGCATCCTTTTTCTCCTGTTCAAAGTTTGGATTCGCTTTGTAGGCTGGACGGGAGTGAGATTTGGGTCGATCACTTCGAAAGATCCTGAACACGACAATGAACTTACCATAATAGAAAACATGTGTGACCGTTTCAATGCCTGGGATTTTGCTTCTCATAGACTCCACGAGTGTTTTCTGCTCTCCCTTTAGCAGATTGAGGCCGGAAACAATCTGGAGCTTATTTGTTCTCGGCCATAGTGACGTCTCAATATCAAGAGGTCTGTTCGTTAAGGCGGTAACCCTGCTCCATGTTCCTGCTTCTGGAAAATCATGTAGCAGCTGATTCACAACTGCCCAGCCAGAAACGCCAGAGGCCCCGAATACCAGAGCATGTCTATTGAGTGGAGCCATTTGCGATAAAGCGCATGCCTCTTCCGTCAGCTGTCACTTTCCTGGCAATGAGCTATGTCGTTTGCTGAAATACTTACTCTTTGCCATTGTTAATATTACTTTTTGCGAGTGGGAAATGATGGCCGAACGAAGATATTGCGGGGATCGTTCGAGGCAGAAAGCATCAGAGGGTTGTCGCGAGCGGAACACCACCGGGCTTCTTTCGTTTGGTTTAGCTTTCGGCATTCAAACTCCTGTGGGTTATGTGCAGACGACAAAACAAAAGTCAACTAGAAACCCCCAAGGCGGCCGGTATTTGCATCTCCGACGGAGATTAGGTGTTGGTGGCTACTCGATTAATTAGTTGGTTGCACTTCTGCCCCAACGAAAACATCTCCATTTCGGTGGCCCCAATTTGCCCAAGTTGTTCATGCACCTCCAGGAGGAGTGGAGGTCGAAGCCAGTAGACTCCAGAACCATACCTAGAGATCTTTCACAGTGTATTGTGCGCCATAAAGCGATTCTACTCCTTTATGTCTCCAAATGTCTTCACAAGTTTGAACCCCCGGACACTCACTGCTTTCGCACTTCCAATAATCCGATGAGTATTTGGGCTTGCATCCGCTTCTCTGAGCTCGGGGCCATCCAATGCGTCTAGTGTCTCGAATTCATGGACTGCCATGAATCTGGGAACAGCTGACAGGTCAACATCGTCCGAAGATTCCAGCTGGTAGCGTTGCGACCGACGGTATCCCGGAACTCTTGAGAGCATATACAAGTGTTCATCCCGGTAAAAATTGTTGTAGTCATCATCGTCTGGAGGCTCCATTTGAACATTAAGAATGAAAGGCGCCGGCGCTTAGAACCCACCGAGAGCTCGGTGGGAATGATGTCAGTGAAGGCGCAAGGCTCTTGGATGCTGTCGAGGAAGGTCCACAAGTACAACTTACTGTGCCCAAGTCCCCTTGGGTCGAAGTCCTGGATAAGCTTGTATACTCTTGAATCCCACACGCCACAAGACGTCGGGGATTTCCCTGAAAGCACCTCCCCAGCCTGGCCGACGTTCTGTAAGTGTTGGCTTCTCGCTAATGTGGGATCCTCGATCTGGCACATAGCAAGGAATGTTTTCTCTGTCGGCGGCTCGATGTCGGTATGCGTAACTTTTACGCCATGGAGAGTCGTCTGGCCCACTGCCTTTGGGGTTTTGGTAGCAAGCGGATAATCGTCGAAGGCCTGGTACAAACCTGCCCTTGTGACCGCCTTTGCGTTGACCAAGCTGGGTAAGTTTTCTGAACAGTACCACTTCTCCCAACTCTCGCGGTCGACTTCCGCCGGCTCTGACAACACACGCAACAGGTACAAAGAAGCCGCCATTCGGAGGTAGTTGTCAATATTTCATTCGAGTCGAAAGAGAAAACCGTTGTTTCTTCTGTGTGCGATGATGCATGTGGCCACACAGTGATGAATGGGCCATGACGCTCGGCGGGCACATGGCTTCTTTAGAAGAACAGATGGACTTCAAAAGCCGCAACCTAGAAGAGAGTCACACAGGAAAGTGGAGTCGGGAGTTTGGATTCCGAGCCTCTATCAAACTAAACGGTAGCCACACTTCTTGTCGGCTCCCGAGCTCGGCTGCCTAGATTGTTTTCCAGCTGATGATTGATGAAAACATTCTTGCAGATTTAAGGGCTAAAAGCTTTGGAATCGTTCTGGAAAGGGCAGCGTGACTTTGATAGCAAGCGGTTCATGAACTAGTGGCTATAAAGGTTAGGGACCAAGGTGGAGAGACCTGTGAAGCATGAATAGGAAGGGCTGTTTCTTCCCTTCTAGTGTAACAGAGCACTTCAGGGTTCGGCGTGCACGTGCAACAACGCACAGAGGCCTGTCCAGCAGATCGGGAATCGAGAACGCTTTTCTGGTTGATGCTGACAAGACAACACCACCACAAACACCACCCAGAGGGGCAGCGACTAGGGCTACGAACACCTAGCACAGCGGAGGCATCGAGGAACAGGACAGGACTGATAAAACACTCAGGAATTAGGTAGACGGCGCCAAAAAAGCGAATTCATGATCCTCTACCAAACTGTCAAAAATTGGCCCTCTGACAGCACTGTCAACTGCCCTGCTCCCAGCGATCTAATTAGGTTTGACATGTGACCTGACAGACCTCTGCCTTGCCAGTCCACCACCAGCCCAGCACAGCCACGCCGCCTTGTTACGCTAGAAGTCCTGGAACATGATTCTCAGGCATCTCGCAGCAAAAGCAAAGGACGGTTATACGTACAGTATTTGTTTGTAGACGTTGTAGCTGCTCCCAGGTGTAAGTGACAGAGATTCATTCGATACATCATGTCACGGGATGAGGTGCAGAATTCCTAGTTCGGCCGCACAGCCCGCATTCCCGCTTGCCGGGCCACTACGTACTACTTGCTATATTGTCGCATGCCTAGATTTCCACCTTCTCTCGACCGAAACACCGCAAAGGATACATTACAATCGTAGTCGAGATGCATCGTACAATTCTGCTGTACTCCCTTCTCTCATCAATTTCCCTCGCTGCTACTCTCTCGCCGTTGAATGTCTGGGGCGGCAAACCCCCCTCACCCTCGAATACTCTGGTGATCCACCTGAATCAAGACCAAACTGCAATGAAGCCGGGGCCCGTTCAAGGCGGCGCCGAGCCTGGGCAATTTGGCGGCAATGTTGGCGACAATACTCTTTCCATCTCTGATATCCTCCCGCAAACCCGCAAGATCAATATCTTTGCCTCCCTGACACGCGACATCTCCACCGTCACATCCCGCCTCGAATCCACCAAGCCGGAAGACAATACGACACTCCTGGCTCCATTGAACTCTGCGATGCAAGCTCTTCCTCGCAAACCATGGGAAGATCGACCGGGCGATGATTCAGGTGTGGATGCCGAGAGGGACGAAGACAAAGCAGCCCGAAATCTGCAGAGATTCGTCGAAGAGCATATTGTTCCCGTGAGTCCGTGGGAGCAGGGCAAATCGAATAAAATCAAGACACTAGGTGGGCAGGAATTGTGGTGGGAGGAAAATGATGGTGGGGACAGGGTTATCAACCCAGGCAGTTTGATCGTCGACGGTGTTGTCGGAAGAGTGGGCAATGGGGAGATTTGGGCGGTCAGGGGAGTGGTCAACTATGCGTGAATAAGCGTGGAATTCCTGATGAGAGCATGGGCTAAGCTGGGTTTACGAAACCACACTAGGGTTACCAGGACAAGTAATTGTACAATTAGGCATCTGACGGGTGCTGGACTATAAACCTAACACCGTCCTTTGAGGGGAACATTAAGGCCGGATTTGTTGAGACGACCTGTATAGACGAATCACTTGATCTTTTTCTCCACAACAACCGATGAATTCCTTGGAACGTGTTGAGTTTCTCCGAACCCCGAACGATCCTCGAAATACCCATCGAGCAACCCGCTCTCCAATATCAATTTCCAAAAACACCATAGGTAGCAGACTCCAAAACAAGCAGCACCAATGCACGCGTTCACCACCACCCATAAGTCAGGTTTATCTTCGGGCGGTGTTGTAAATGCTGCCAGAAGGTGCCAGAATGCCATGACAATGTAAGTCTGGAAATGTAAAATTTTGGTGGGTGTTGCCAAATCATGGGGTGCCTGTGGCCGGCCGGTGACATTCTCGTGATCAGGGTCGTAGTAGGCGCTTACGCTGGTTGGTGGCAGCCCCAGTAGGTAGCACCACAGAAGTGATACCACAACATATGGGATCGTGAGGCCGTCCCTCTTCAAGAGCGGGAACATCGTCCAGACGCCCAGTGCATTTGCCCACCCAATCCACGCTCGATATTCTTTGCTGAGGCCTTGTTTGCTCCCGAGGAGCAGCGTCATCGGGAGCAACGGGAGCAGCACCGACTTTTCGTGGACTTGAAACGAGAAGAGAAAAAACCCCCATGCCGATGTAGCTAGCGCATAAGGGAGCAGCGTCTTCTTCGGCACTGCCCCAATGACCAGCATCGGTCCTAGGATAGATCCGAGAGTGGCAAGAGCAGAAATGCGAGAGAGGTCGACAACCCCCCGTAGCCTGCGGAGTTTGTAGAAAGTGTTGGTGAAGCACCAGAAGTTAGCCACCTTGTCTTCGAACAAGCCGCGGGCGAAAGGAAAGATTCGGTGTACGGCCTGGCTAAGCTGAAGAGCAATCATTTCCACGGGAATGTTAGGGTCGAGAGTGATTCTTTTGTCAGCAAGGAGTGGCGGCGGAGGCATCTCAGAGAAGTGGATTTGCTGATAGATGTCGTACATTGATCCCACAAGCAATGGAGCAAACAAGACCGCAAATGCAAGGGCTGTGATGAGGGAGATCGAAATGAGTCTCCCAAGGCGGATTTGTGGAGTCAGGCAAGAACCCAGCAGGTAAGCGAAGATGACAGGCGAATAGTATAGCGCCATCTGCTTGAATCCAAGCGCGGCGACGAAGAAAATGCAGGACCACAACAGTCGACCGGCATATATGCTTGACAGAGCCGCGACAACCAAGCCGAGCATGACAGTATTGTATTGAAAATGGCCGTGGTCGATGAGAATGTTCGCTGGCTGCATGAGAATTGCCACGAGGGCAATGGATGCTGAGGTTGTCCCGGTGCCATGGATCCTGCTAAAGTGCCGAAGGAATATGATCAAGGCTGGGACATATATAAGGTATTCTGAGAGGATGACAGTGGCCCGCATGAACACTTTGAGATCTGATTCCTCCATGCCACGAGACTTATCGAGCTCAAACCAGGTTGGATTGAATAGAGATCCCCTTTCTCTCCGTCAGCTCTCGAATTCCCTTAATCATGGGGGATGCTTACACTTTGCCGCACAGCCAGCTGTGATAAGCTGTCAAAGGAGGATAGTCGAGGCCCCAGTATGGAAGGTCATAGAAATACCATTTCGATACTGGCAAATGGATTGTAATCTCCATCCAATGTCGCTGAGCCTCGAAATCTCCATGCATTGGAGGTGTCCTGTAGCCCGAGTGGTCCCAAAGCCCTACGCTCCATCTGAAGAGGCCAACAATTATCAAAACCAGTGGCAGCAGAATCCATTGAGATGTTGTGCCCCGAGCTGGCCACAGGAAAGCCACCAGGGGGAACTCGGGGGTGATGGCATTGTTGTCGTCAGGGTCGAGTTTGACAATGTCAGTGATGGTGTTCTTTCGGATCAGAGCAGGAGGCTGTTTTCGCTTTTTCCGGGGCCTGTGCGAATTTGATAGGCTCGACATGGTGTGGGAAAGACAGACGAGCGGCTGGATGGCGGAATGAAAATCGCAAGAGCTGGTTCGGGTCGGGTCGGTTCTGATTGTGAAGATGCAGATTTCCAGTGGTTCCCAAAGTGGATTAAATGCCCAGACCCAGCCTTTCTGTTAGTTGATGTAGTAGGTAAGATAAGGTTTATCAGGTGGAGAAATGGAGAAAAATTTCGGCTTCCAAGAAAAAGTAGGTGAAAGCCTGTCTATCTTCTTTCCTTCTTCATCTCGGACTGCTAACTTTCTGCTGCACACGTTATCCAATTTGACCATCGTGGGCATATTTTCGAGGGCATCATTACCTTGAGGTCTATCGAGGGCTCTGTGGGTCTGTTGCTACTGAGGGCTGTCCTGAAGACTCTTTGCAGGTTCTTGCTTGTCTTATCCTGCTGGCGAGTTCTGCTCAAGTTCTGTCTGTGGTGTCGCGCGTTCAGCGGAAATTCACGTTTCTGCCTATCCCTTGCAAAAAGCAAGTGATTTAGTGAGGCCGGGGGCTTTTAATTCCACCTGGTGGATTGAGGGTTTTGCTGCACGCACATCAAAATTCTTTTCGTGGTTCTGCTGGAGGAAAAATTTCAACTCCAGAGGGTTTCAAGTCTGTCACAACTCCTTCGTCTTTTGTTCGTATTCAACTAACTAACCATGCACTTTTGTCAGTTCCTGTTCAGTATGTCCAAAGTCAAGTCCAAGGCTGTCCCTCCCGGGTCCAAACCCGGTGCCCTGTCGAAAGTCAAGGGCGCAGCCGTGACCAAGCCTTCGCAAAGTGTGAAGGCCAAGAGTAAAGTGATCGCCAAGGAGGTTGCTGCAAAGGAGCAGAAGAAAGACAAGAGAAACAAGAAGATCCCAGTCAAGGAGCCAACTCCCGAATCGGAGTCAAGTTCTGAGGAGGAAAGCTCCGAGGAGGAAAGTGAAGACTCCACCAGCTCTGAGGAGGATTCCGAGTCTGAAGATGAAGTCAAAACCAACAGTGTCAATGGCGTCAAAGTCCATGGACAAGATGATGCCGAGGAAGATTCAAGCGAGTCCGACTCTGAAGCATCGGCGGCTGAAGACGTAGCTCCGAATGCGAACGGTTCTGCTCCCAAGGCCAAGTCGGCTACCGATGCTTCGGAAAGCGAGAAAAGCAGCGAAGAGGAGTCTGACGAAGAGGAGAGCTCTGACGAATCGGAAAGCGATGAAGAGCCTGCAGCTCCCAAGACGACAAAGACAACCAAGGAAAATGGCGTCAAGCCTGTTGACGCTGACGCTGCTGCTGAGGACAGCGATGAAGATACCGAGAGTACCGACGAAAGCAGTGACGAAGATCAGAGCAGCGGCGATTCTGATGAGTCCGAGGACAGTGACGAAGAAGAGGCAGAAGCGAAACCTGCCAAGCGCAAGGCTGAGGATGTCGAGACGCCTGCAGCAAAGAAGACAAAGGTCGACAATGATGAAGATTCCAAGGGCTCCATCCTATTCGTCGGCAACCTCTCCTGGAATGTCGACGAGGAGTGGCTGAAGTCAGAGTTCGAAGAGTTTGGTGAGCTCGGAGGCGTTCGTTTGATCACTCAACGTGAAGATGGCAGATCCAAAGGGTAAGTCAGCATCTCTGTTGTATTTGGTTCTATAATGACTGATGAGATATAGTTACGGTTACGTCGAATTCGTGAATGCCCCGGATGCAGCAAAGGCCCATGCTGCGAAGCAAGGCTACGAGCTTGACGGTCGTGTCATGAACGTCGATTTCGCTAACAAGAAGACTGACGCCGGGGACAAACAGGAGAAACGACGCCAATCTTATGGCGACAAGCTTAGTGAGCCCTCCGATACGTTGTTCTTGGGCAATTTATCTTTCGAGATCACTGAGGACGACGTTTACAACGTATTTGCGCCCTATGGAACACCCACCGGGGTCCGCATCCCCACTGACAAAGAGACCGGCAATGTCAAAGGGTATGGCTATGTCACTTTTCCAACATTGGATGAGGCGAAGGCTGCGCTCGAAGGCGCACAGGGTTCCTACGTCAAGAACCGCCCCATGCGCGTTGACTACGCCCAGCCTCGTCAACAGAATGGTGACACTCCCGCTCGCAGTGGCCGTGGAGGTCCTCCTCGCGGAGGCCGTGGCGGCGGTAGAGACTTTGGCGGACGCGGCGGACGCGGAGGCCGTGGTGGTGCTCGCGGAGGTGCTCGTGGTGGACGGGGCGGCACTACCAATCGTGGAGGATTCGGTGACTTCTCTGGCAAGAAGACCACGTTCTGAGCTGATGACGCAGGAGTAGTGGTGTTCCATCGACTTGGAACGCATACGGATCACTGGATACGGCCTTATGAGTGGGGAGACTTCATTGCCTGTTTGATCCATGATTGTACCTCGAGTCTTTCCCATTGTACGCGTTGCATGGAAATATGACGACGGTGAGGATTCGAGGGTTCAGAAAAGTTCAAAAATTGCATTTCTTTCTTCATGCCGTATTTGGGTCTAATGGGGAATCATGATTCCTTGAACGGTCGTTGGAGTTAATGAGTGTGGGAAATAAAAACTCGACTTTCTATTCAGCCCTTCTGTTCTAGTAATTACTCAAAGTCATAAGTAATGTACCGAGTACCCTACAAGTTAGGGCTGCCTCGCCCCGATGTCGTGGAGCGGGATACGGAGAATTATTGACGAGGCCCACCTCGATATAACGCAGTGACCTTGGAGCGGTGACTGGTGACGGAGGTTGATGATTGGATTCGTCTGACACCGCCAGACAACTGCCAGCATGGACTGCGCGCGTGATTCCATCTCTTGATCAGCACTTGTGGCTCTGCACTTTCACCTGATATGTGTCCCGCCCAATCATGATCAGCCGTCCATTCAGTGCCGCCTTTGCAAGAAACCTGCTCAGTGGCCTGTCTCTACGTTAACTCATTGAGTGCCTGCGTTGTGCATTCCGGTTCCAGCGTTGCTTGCATACCTGGCACAAGCTGGCTGAACTGACCTGGTCTTTGGCAGGATAAACGAGACCCTCAATCTGCGGTACTCGACATTCGGAGCCACTCCCTTTTTCCTCCCAACCTCACTCCCATAACCGCACTCTGATCTGACCACAATCATCGTCGACTTCGAGCCCGAGAAAGGCCGTCCCCCGCCCTCGCAGAAAGGTCCGGTGGCTGATCGTCGCGATCCCGCAATCGCGATCTCCAGGACAGATCCTCCGCCATCGTCATCCGTCAGCGGTGAGATCCAGCCTAGGATTCTACCAGTTATTCTGCCACATCGCGTGGCCTCTCCAAGATCTTGACGTCCCTCGTTCTAAACGAATTTGAGTCAGACCTTCTTCGCTGCTTCTAGGATCTTCAAGAAGTGAACACGTATTTGTGGGATCCGAGAGGGCGCCGCGGAGGGAACGTACTTCGGCTTCCAATTCATTAGCCTACATCCCATAAGGCTACAATTTCTCAAGTATGCGACCGTCTCAAGTAGAGCCATTTGGCTCACTCAGAGGTGAGCGAGGAGAAAATCGGGCACCCTGGGCTACAGAGTCTCAGCCAATGTCGGCACCCAATGCGAGTATTCCGGGGATACGCTCTGAAGGTAGAATCTGCTTCTAGCCACTACATTCCACCTACCTGCAGAGTTGCTGACCTTTCCATAGACTCGTGGGTTGAGATCTCGTCACGCGCTTCGTCAGCCTCTTTATCGTCCACGAACAACGATATCATCACCACCGGACTCCAAGTCCGGTCTCAAGATGAGCGCCAATCCCGTCAACTTCAACCTTCTCCACACGTTGCACATCCTCAACCGCGGTCTGTGAGCACCGCGGGAAGTAGCCAAGATGAATATGAAGAGAGTGAGAGCGAGAGTGATCGGGTTCTCAGCAGCTCGAACGAAGAGATCTATCAAGGTGACACAGCGGATGATGATGAAACCTCTACCGCTCTAGGTGTTGGCAGCTTGGGCAAAGTGTTCACGCCCCAGCCGAATGCATTCTCGCACCCCCCGTCGTCCCATAATCGATCCGTACAAGATCCCTATTTTCCTCCAGGTGCCACATTAGCATCTGAGCCCCAGGCTGACCGCTCACTCACTCAGCGCGGTTACCAGCAACAAATGCACCCAAGGAATCGCCCTGCCTCGTCATCATACCAACCAGACCATGATGCTGCCTTGCGAGCCTCTCTGACGACTCTACTCTCGTGCGCCGCTGCAGTTCGACCTAAAAACCCTGATGCCAGGCCGCCACCGCAACGAGCATCGACGCAACCAACAACTCTGCGGCTTGTCCCCGAATCAGCGCTCGAGGATGGGCCTCGACAGAGGCGAACTTCCTCACCCAACAAGCAAACGAAGCGAAAGTCGCGCGAATCGAGCAAAGATCGACACGCCGCCAAGAAAGTCCGGGCTGCCGGCGCCAAAGCAGCAACAGCAGTGGCGACTGGCGAGGAGCTGATCAGCCCAACGCTCGCTTCGTGGATGATTTCAGCGTGCGTGGTACTCGTATTCTCGGCCATCAGTTTCAGTGCGGGATATGCTTGGGGACGCGAGGTTGGAAGGATCGAAGGCGAGATGGGTCTCCCTGGTGGAAGTTGTGGACAAGAATCAATAAGGTCGACCGGAACCGGGTTGAGAAGATTGAGATGGAGTTCGGCCGCGAGTAGTATACGCGCCTAGTGACGCATGTTTTGCCGTTGGCGTTTGGTAAAGCATCAGGAGGAGCAAGAGACGACAACGACAGGCACGATGGGAATTAACTGACATTCTGCTAATGGGGAAAGGGACGGATCGAATGAAATGATACCCCGTCGGAACTGATCTTCGACACCAGCTCTTTGCATGGCTGGCCGCACATGACGTCGCAGGAAGTACACGAGGCATGGAAATATCGAGGCGTTCTTCAGATCGCCGGCATTGGAGGCGCGCCGGCAATCGCGCAATCCGGTATTGAGCGAATATATAGACATTGAATAGCAGGGCAGTTCCGATGACTTGTGTGTTTCCTCGACTGGCCGAATGGTGTCCCTTGGAGGGTCACAATTCGATGATGTCTTAAATTCTAGGTCCCTTGACAACATATGATACAGACAAACAACCATTTTAACCCCCTACATTGACTTCAAGAAATTGTTCTCTCTAATACTCCTCCGTCTCGCTGCCCTCGCGTTCTTAGTAATCTCTTGCCGACGTTGTAAACTCGTCAGAGCGTCGTCGCCAGGGCCCGTCAGATCTTTGCTTTGTTCATGGACAGGGATTTCTTTGGGTAGGTCTTTCAGGAGACGTTCCTGTTTCTTTTCGTACCGGATGCGTTGCTTTTTGGTCATTGCTTAGATAGTGTTAATAGGTGCTATTTTCGCGAGAATGCTGTACGCATGAAAGGAACGCCAGTACCTGATAAATCGACCTTTTCTCCATCGTTTCCAAGTCTAGTCTGATCCAACAAACCCCACAGCCACTCGGGATACTCATCGTCCTCCAATGCCAGGACTTTTGGCTTCGCTTTTGTGTAGCCGAGACCCCGAAGCTCCTTGCCTCCCGGTACCGAGCTTTTTGGCCTCGAGGACCCTTTCGAGTCCTTGGTCGAGGTTGGTCCAGTCGTCTTCGCGATCGAGGTCGAGGGAGTGTGTGGTTCGGAAAGAGGTTGGGAGATTCCCGACGAGTTTGACGACTGGGTCGGATTAGGTTCGCTTATAGAGATAGCCGCAGGAGCTGGAACTGGGGCGGCACTGGGAGTCGCAGGGACTGTCGATGCGTAGCGCAAGGTGGTGGTGGAGGATATTGGTACATTGCAGTTGGGACTGAAAGAGCGAATGCGGGGGAGAAACGCACGACGGCAGCTCGAGCAGATCATGGTGCGTTGGAATCTTGGTAAAGCTTGCGGGTTGAGGAGATGTTATGTATGCGAGGCTCAGAGGGTGATTCAGGAGTCCAGGGTGACGAATTGAAGTTGTTCTACTATTCAGCATTGAACCTCCAAAATTGGAATGTCTCCGCCTGCCAAATTGTTTGCGGACCTTTTGCTTGGCTTTGATTGAGGCTCCCAGTGGCGAACGTTCACAACAGCGGAGAACCAAAACACAGCTCTCTCTTCTTCGAACTTCTAAAATATGTTAGATTCCTGCAGGAGCCTCCAGACGATCAATATCTGGCTCGAGCAGCATTCAGCGACCGAGAGCTTTGCCCCAACCCGGTCCATAATTTGTTCTATCCCAGCGCAAATTCTCACGTCTATCTATCTCAAATGAACTCTTCACACAGGCGCCTTTCAATAACATTTGACCGCTGGAACAACAATACCAAGCTGACATCTGTGGGGCCCACTCAGAATTTCAAGCTGAAGATGGCGACAAAAAGCACAATCGCCGAGACAATCGGGAATACCGGATCAGCCTTGAGTTTGTCAATCCAGGTCAGCAGGCGCCGCGCCTCTTCCACCTGGGGCACTTTCAAACCTGTGATATAGTGTCTCGCAAAGAGATCGTTCTGGATCCACCAAAACTTGTTAAGAGCTTTCAGAATGTCCACTTTTGTCTGCAGTTCCAACCCCTCGACGCCCATGACAATGTCGGTGACGGCATTCTCGACCCATCCAAGCAATAGATTGACTTCGCGGTACTCCACAAAGAGGGCAGATCTGTTCTTCCGGTGCTTCAAACCAGAATCTGTGGAGCCTGTGTGGACATTTCCCACCATGTCAATGTACTCCCAAAACTTGCTCTCGGGAGTCCAGCCGTGGTTCGAGACCAATCTGACCAGGTAACCCTTCAAGAAGTCCTTCCGATATTTGATGTTTTCGTGGCCAGCATGAAGGTCGCGCACATTTGCGTCTGCGGTGACGCCTTCCTGTGACTGTTTCGGCGCAAAAGATTCGGCGGTGAGGTCGTACTTGAGAAGGTGGTCGTAGACGGCGTCGACGACATTGGTGACAATAGGAGCAAGCACCTCCTTGCAGGTTTCAATGAGTTTTCCATCTTTGGCTGCGTCCCATTGAAGGAAGGACTACATATATTCCATGCGAGCAGCGACATCACGGTTGATGACAGCTCCGTCAATGTGCTCCATTTTGAGTTCGTTGCTTGCTTGAGGCTCAATTGGATAGTAATTCAATGCCCTGTCTCTATATACAGAGCCTCGATGGGTTTATGGCACTCTCAGTCAGCCCGCGATTAGAATGGAAGTTACCATTTCCGCGGCAGTGATATAGAGAGCTCTGATCTGCTCAGTGAATCGGTGGCATTTCGCCTTGCTTACCTCATTCTTCCGAAAACTCCTGGTGGCCCCTATGGCGAAAGTGGGATCGTGGGCAATCTGCAACTGAGTGGGTTCACAATCACGGCCATGCAGCGGCTGGAGACGCATTGCCTGGGGACAACATATCAATGGTCGTGCTCTAACTATCGACTTCGAGCAACTGCCTCTCCGCGGCTGCTGTGGCCCCTCCAATCTCCAACCAGCCGTCGCGACTTAACAACCACCGCACCAACAGCTCGATATTGACTTGCTCGCATAGCGCATGACCCTGTTTTATGACTTTGGGGAACAAGATAAAACTAATGGTCGGACACAAAGCAGCCCAAGCAATAGCAGAGAATGTCTCCCTGGTCGCTTCTCGTGAGATATACTGACTTCGCGCAAGGCCGAGGAAGCCGGAGAAACACGCAGACTGACCCAATACTCAGCACTGAAAGGTGAAACGAGGCCATGAAGGCGTTTCCATGTGTCATTGATCTCGTCTGAGAACCCAGTATTTGATATACGGACGCACCGGGCTATCAGGGCCTCCGAGGAGTCCAAAAAAAGGAATTCTTTCCCCTTTGGCCAACGTTCTATTTCCTTGGCCTAGCACAAATATCCTCTATGCTACTGTGCCTAGCTGATGTATCCGTCTCCTGTCCCGTTGACCCAAGACATCAAAGCGTTGCAAATGATAACTCTCATGCAGGATGCCAGCAATCATGCTTGTCCCGGGAAAGACTGCCTTGATGCAACGTCTCAACGATGGAATACTCCAACGCCATGAGCTATTCTTCCAAGGGCGCAGGTGAAAGCAAAGCTTATGGCGTCAACCCAGACCACAATGGGAGGCAGCATTCCCCAGATGAGGACGGAGGCGTAACGACATTGTCGCTGGGCGTCTAGGTCACATTGACAACATAGGTCACTTTTCAGCCTCATCTGAGATATTTGAGCAGAGCCTCAATTTGGCTTCCTGAGCAAATAGTTTCGTTGGAAAGCGTTATGGTAGAAGTTTGATAAGAGCAATATCGCTACGGCTGAGGAAAATAAAACGTGCTAAGGGCAATTCTCGACTGAGTCGATCATACTATGGCTATAAAGGAACGGCACCTTGAATTCATTGTATTGCCACCGCCGTGACACCGGGAGCTTCCACTAGAACCACTGAAATCCCTGTGACGCCTCGCTCGCACGCGCACCCCGAACAGCGTTTGATACAGATAGTTTGGCCAAATTACCTGTCGCCTTGATATCGTATAGAGACTGCTTTATTGGCTTGTACGAGCTGCTTGCCGGAGATACCAAGCCTTGGCCTTCCGCGCGTTGCACCGGAGACACAGTGCACCATCCATCCGAGAAATATTGGCGTCCGTGGTTTTAGCAGGATCTGACCTCGAGTATTCGGGCTTTCGGTCCCCGTTGGAGAGTAGCATATATGGTGGAGGCGCCTCTTCCGAGTCGAAATCGGAGTGGGTATCCTCGAAGAAGCTTTGTGATGAGTTTGGGTCGGAGGGCTGGATGTGAGAGGATGTTATGGGATGGTATGCTGGACAAGTACCGACATCCTCTGTGGTTGTTGCCGGCACACACGAACTACTCCGTGAGCTTTCTGGATTCGAAGGCGGAGTTCTGCCGCTGCTGGAGGTACCTCGACGGAGGTCTTTAACGGCCTTGCGGAGAGACATATTGAGAGTGAAGTTATAGTACGCCGTGAGTACTATCCAGAAATTGTGTGACAACGTTGAAGAGAAGGAGATACTTGCCTTGTTCTCGGATCTTTCATCGGGTAAGTAAAGAGGGAAATTTTCTCATTTTATGTGCACTTCATACTCGTTGACCTTGCAGTCCCTGGCTTCAGCTTCGTTTTCAAACTCATGGACGTGAACGACAAGAGTACTTGAAATGGTAGTCGGCCTGACATAGGATGTTTTTGACTCTATTCCCTCTAGCCTATCATATCGCATTAGCCGACCATCACGCCTCACCTGTTCATGCCTGATTAGCTTATGCGGCTGGTACTGTAGCGCAATGACCAGTTCTCCAGCCCAAAGATCGCTTCCAAAAGGCTTATTCACAGGTGTAAGAGCGACAGAATGAGAAAGACGTGAAAATGCCAAGGTTTCCTGTCAGCACGGGTCGTGACAGCCACCAGCACAGGCGGCTGTATCGAAAATGGTATTGACTTTGGCGGGGAGGGCTGATGATACTAAACGAGTTCCAAAGGCGCTGTCTTCTCGTGTTTGGCAGACATACCCGGAATCGATTGGAAACGGCTGCTTCTAAGTGTTCTCCTTGCCATGGCAGCCCGAGGATGGCGTTGCTGAAACCCGTATTCAGCTCAGGGGCGTAGCTGGAGATTGGCAGCCACATCTTGCTCAGAAGGTAGAATGCAAGCGGACGTCGGGCAGGCCGGCAGATGTGGCTCAGACCTCGCTCTGGTGGCAAGCAACAATACACGAGCTTAACGATGAAACAGGCAATCAATTGATCAAAGTACAAAGTGTTCGATCGACTCCTGGCAAGCCAGTACCTCACCGGACGCGACAAACGGACGCGGGCTGCGCTATGACGTCAGCTGATTCATGCTTCGTGAAAAGGCAGCCCGTGAGTCTGCTCCTTCACCCTCCTCAATGTACTCATGGCGACTTCAAGAACCGGTCTTTCGTGTCAGCTGGGACGATATACAGACTAGCCTGATATAGAGCGGCAGCTTAAGTAACTCCAGCAACGTCCGCCAGAGTGCGTAGGGAACGCACAAGTCCAATGCCGTTGTCGAGTCGAGGCCTCGGGTCGAATTATCCCAAACAGCCAGTAGCGAGCGCGCCGGAGCAATTTCCGCAACACTAACGTGATTCTTTCACCCCCGCAGACACCCCGAACAATGTCGCTGCCATCTTCGTATCTCGGAAAACATAGAGTCCAAATCCACAACATGACTTCAACCATGTGATTCGCGTGGATTTCTCGATCGATGTTTTGAATCCGAGCTTCTGGGGTTTGCGCATATGCAGCAAAAATGAAGTGTTTGTACGACCGTCAAGTACGGAAAGTGCTTGTTTTCTTAATTGTAGACTGCCTTTCCTCTGAAGTTCTTGATGAAGATGTCCTGCGAAATCCCGTCGTAGTTGATGACCGATGCGGGTGATTCTGTCAAGCCACTCAATTGACCAGGTATGGATTTTAAAAAGGTTGTGCACCCACTACCAGGCCTGCCCAGCACGAGCATCATTTCACCACTTTCACGTAGCCATTGCAATTATGGAGGATCGCTCTGGGGTCTGGTTTGCGTCTCGTCACAAACATCGGAAGTCGGGCAACATCAAGCCATGGACTTGCGACAGCTGGCTGCAAAGCTAGACTGGACCCTGTGCCGCAGACAGTGAGTGATTTGAAGCAAACTCCAATGTTGCTTCGCTTGTTGCCATCTTCTCTGACCATCTGAACTAAGGTTGAGGCCCAGAATCGAAAATCGAATTCCTCATTTTCAGGGTCCAGTCGAGAGTCGATATCAGCGAGAGATTTTGGTGTGATCCCCATATCCTTCGATCTTCTCGTTGCAATTGTCGTCAGCTCGGGGTCCAGTTGCGAGATATGCAGGTGTCTGTGGTGGCGTTTGAGTTCCTTCCGTGCAGCAAGTGCCTCAAGTCCATTCGGAAGGCGATCGCGTATAGCTGCTTCGTAGATCTTCTGGTAGTCTTCTTCGATGCTCGACGCCGGACTGATTTGACGTTCCATTGGAGTCTGCGGGGATGAGACGGCTCACGATCAAGACGAGTAAGGCTTATTAGTCTCAGTGAAGGGAGAGAGTGATGATAGAGTGTGTCAAAGTCGAGATGAATATCGGGACACTCAAATTCCTAGGAGAAGGGATCCTGACCTTGGGGTATACTGCGCTCACTTATGAAAAGTCTGAGCAAGCCAACTGAAGGAACGTTGGCTTCTATGACATTATTGCAGTACACGCGCACAACGGCGCCAAAGCCGACCCCCCCAAATGCAGACATTGTTGCGGAGTCCTTCTACTCCTTAGGGCACCGGTGCCAACTCGAAATATCACTCCATGGACTCAAGAGAGTGATTGAGTATTTCAAGTTTGTTTTGCGTTGTGAACTTGTTGACAGGGCCGCACGATAGCCACCTGAGATGCTAGCTGTCTCATGAACTGCACCACCTACCTCAACCCCGTTGTTCTCGCCGTTCTGCAATGGCATGACGACGGAATAGGAGGTGCCAAGAAAAGCCTTCAGATCACAGGCTAAAGTGTATATAAACAGGCAGAGTCTCTCTGATTAGGCAGAGAGGCAAGACACAATCAAGCAGATAGATCCACTCTCATTCTGTGTACAACACGTGCTGTCGCTCGGAATGGCAACCCTTTCGAACTGGAAGTAGAGCAAGCTGAAGCAAGTTTTGGACAGCCTCAATGGTGACATCGTACCCTGTATTTTCTGGAGTAATAATGGATGTGGGCCAAATGTCCATGAAAATGCAATGCGTCTTTAGACTTCACGAAGCTCGGCTGGCAAGCGCCCGACTGTACAAATGACTGTCAGAATTCCCTTTAACACTTTAGTCGTGCGCTTCTTTCGTCTCCATTCATTGGAACTGGAAGCTGGGGTACTGGGTAGTGTCCGTACTTCGTCGTCCAAGGAACTTGCCGAGTAACTTGATCTTTGCAGTAATCCGCGCGGAGTGTCATGCAACCAGTGTCTTTGTGTCCTCCCTTCCCGCTAATAGCCGTGCATCACGGCGTAGCCGCCGGTACCACCTCTTTGGCATCGACGGCTTGGTGTAGTCCTCACAGGTATTCAAATGGCTAGGAAAAGGCAAGTCAGAATCAGATAGATCTCCTACCGATGTTGAGCGGGGAGGAGAGGTTATTGAGGAGACCCTCTCGGGAGGACTCTGGCTGTTTACAGTGGACCATAAATAGGAGCTGTAAGTCTGCGTGAGGGGGACGATCTATGTGCGCTATGAACGTGACTTTGACTTGCAATGAATGGTAGATATCATACAGAGTCCGTCGCGCTCAGAGAATTTCGCGTGGCATGGCTTGGGGTATCGACCGCTACATGCCAAATCACAAGTATACAACTGAACGGGTACACTCAACGGAGAGAGCTCTGTTTCAACCGGAAACAAGACTAGGTCAACTTCGACAATGTTGCATTCGTAGAATTTGCATCTGAGCTTGTCGCCGCCGTATAAACAACCAGATTTTGATAGACCCGAAGAATCTCAAGAACTGTTATCCGTCATCGGCGAAGCACAGCAGGCAGTGCGCTGTCCATAAGGCATATTGGCCAGAGAAAAGCCAGCCGAAATCCCGCTTGATACTGTAACAAGGCAAAGTGGCTGTGGTGGGGAGTGCTGAACAGTCCACAGGGCTGGCAGAGCGCCATTCTTTGCGATTTGACAGAGTATTCCATTTTCTGATGTCGTCTACCTATTCCTGAGTGTTTCATCAGCCTTTTTATACTTCTCAATGCCGTCGCCGTGCTAGGCGCTTGCTGCTCTAGCCGCTGCCTGTCTTGGGGTGATGTTGGTGGTGGTGTTGCCCTGTCAGCATCAACCAGAAACGCGTTCTCGATTCCCGACCTGCTGGACGAGCCTCTGTGCGTTGTTGGACGTGCATGCCGAATCTTGAAGTGCTCTGGTACAATACAATCCAATCACGGTTGTGGACTTGCGCAAATTCGTCAGAACTGAAGACGGAAGCCAGGAGTGACCCAAAAAAGAGCATTGAAGACAACAGCTTCAAAACTTGCCAAGAGAGACACACAATGACAATATTACTGCACAGTCGCGCAACTTCTGCAGAGGTCCTCTACTGCCATTGGCGCGGGTAGATGAGGTCTGCGCTCTGTAAGCCACAAGCTGGCTGTAGAGTTTCAACGGCTGATTGAGTATTTCATGTAGGCTCATGCATTCGATATTGGTTTGCCGTGTCGAAGAATTCCTGTTGATCACGGCAAGTGGTGGAGGCTTTTCACTGGAAGGTTGATCTCTCAGTTAAACTGACGATGTATCTCGCAGGGCTGGAAAAGCGAGAATGGCGTGACTCTCTTCGGAATGAAAGATGCAGGATCTGTTACCATGAGCTGATACGTGCCGGGATATTACAATCATCCTGTAGATGTCTTTGTGAACTCACCTACGACTAGGGGCCTAGGTGGATCAAGCACTATAGTGCTGGCAGCCGGGTAAATTTGTGCTATCGCAGGGTGCCAGTGGTCTGACAGCAAGCTCAAACCAATTTGGTGTTCGAGATTCGACTCGGTCACTGGGCTTCTGCGGCTTTTCGAAATGTGGTTGACGAGAACTTGAGGCGAAAGAAACTGCCTGCTGCCCAGCCTGAAATACCACAGCATAAAAAGCTATAGATCCAAAGACCAGGACTGCGGCACAGGCAGGTCTCTGATCAAACTACAAGAGAAATGAAGCCTCTCGCCACCTGTCAGCGCGAGATCCAGCTTTCCCTAAATGTAAGAAACAGGGACTGTTGAACTGCGATTCTCCTTGTTTTGTAAGAACAAGGGCAAAGACCAAGCGAGAGGGGGATGGATAAAATCACAAAGTCGTGGGCGTAAAAGGCGCTCCTTGGCAGTTCAGCGCCTCCACAGTGACTGGAGGGAGGCTCCATTTGTCGTCTGAACTCGAATCATACAGTAGCTTGGGCTATTATGTGGAAGATACGATTGGACTAAGAATGCCTTCGTCTCGCGCAATGGAAGAGGTAGGAATACATCTCAATTGAGAAAAGGGAGATACATATGGACGCAGGTGGTGTCTTTGTAAGAATCGAAATATGAGCCTTGCCATGATCCTGTTGCGCTTTGGAACCGAACAAGACACTTGGTGTTAAGCGTCTTCTTTAATAGATTTTTTTTTGGCGTCAAGGTCTGTCGCGCACAAGGATCTCAAGTTCATGTTGTTCACACTACTTTCTCCATTCCTTTCTTTGCCTTCTCCAGCTTCATTGCTAAATCAACAATTTCAATCTTACAACGCCTAACAATGGCATTCGATCGTGCACAAACGTGCCGTAGACGCGTTCCTCCTGGCAGCACTGTATGCCGATTCTGCATCCCACAGACGAGGTGGATGATTCCCCTGGGCTAGTACGACCAATACAGTACAATAGCTGGGTATCAATAACAGTACGGTATTATCTGGAGGTACAGATATCGACACCATAGCCTCTGTCAAAACCAGACATTTGAAACAACCCTACGAACAACTGGGCGTAACCAGGTGCCGGATCCGGCACAAGACGGCACTACACGCACTGGAGATGAGAAGAAAATCAGCGATGGTGATTTACCTAAGATGAAAACACAACACTAAAGAAACCAAAAGATGGAAATGAACACCAAAAAAGTTGCTTGTGCTGCCACGCTTTCAATAATTTGGAGAACGGTACATGTCCCACCAATCCAGATGGCAGGGTATTCCTAATATACAGACCAACTTGGAGCAATCATGTAAGTGGGGAGAAACATCCACCCAGTTCACCCAAAACTCTGATTGAGGCCCAGAAGATTGTCTATCTCATGCAGTTCCTGGGCAATGACATTGACACTTTTGCAAAACATTGAGATAGTCTGCTCTCCCTCATTGCTTCCTATCTTGAAAAGCAGCTTTCTCTAGGAAATTCGCATTTTGGATTCGTTATGTGTTCCGATGTGCCGCAACAGTTCATCATCTTGTGAAAGGGGTCCGAAACGTTTATTGGTGATATGTTTCACCAGTTGTACAAACCTACGAATGAACCTCAGAAGGTTAGGGTTAGATCGAAAAAGGGAGGCTTTCTCCAGACAGCATTTTATGAGAACAGCTTGGTCGCCATTAAAGATGATGTGAAGAAGATCCAAATTACGGCAGAAAGAATGCCACGGGCCCACCGAATAGATGTAAGATTACATCCGACGGTATCTGCGGCGAGAGAGGTTGCGATCAGGTTATTTGTAGTAAATTGGCTTTTCGTAGAGATGCACGCAAAGATAAGCACATCCTGGACCCATTTTTCGCTCTCACCAAGGTCATGGTAGACGTGCCACCCCTAGACTGTGGCTTTGGCGTCTGACAGGATAGCCTTGTGCCGCCAGATCTTACTGCTCCATTTGATAGATGGACCAGAATCGAGCGAGAATGGAGACAAACTCTCCAGGCGGGCGAAGCATCACATTAACAGATCCCTGGTGACGTTTCCGACGATTGAGTGAAGGCGGAGGCGCAAATGTAGCTTATACGGTCCAATACTGGTTCTCTGCCCTTGAGAAGAGCAGGAATGGTACTTTTTTGAGGTAGACACATCCTTCCATGATCCCCAATACAACAGATATCACATTCGTTTGAGAGGCAAGTAACAATTCCTCAACTCCATTCCGAGGACCAGCAGAAATTGGTGTAAAGAGAGTATGTCGTGAGCTGCCGAATCCGAATCGCCGGCAACGCTGTTTCATATTCAGATCCGTGGAGAAAATTCTCTTTTTTAATTGAATGTTTCGACAAAAGTCAGGATTCTACCCATTCTTACGGTGTTGCATCGTCCCAACATCCAGAAATAGCCACGGCAAAATGTGCTCGGCAGGGTGGTTTTGCACAATGTAGCCTCGCCAGCCCTGGTCACGGTATCCTGAAGATACCTGAGCCTATGTCAATCTTTAAATCATGATACCGCACAGTAAGCTCAATTCACCCTCGTAGGCTGAGCATGAGTCTACATTGCAATACCCTCAAACTTTTGGAATCCCTTAGTGGAGGTAGGTGGGTAGAGTGACTGCCCATAGATAAGAAAGGCCCCTTTTGAGACATCAAATTCATGGTGCTTTGCCACCCCATTGAGGCTGTCCGCGCTGTTGCAATGTGGATTGGCTGTTATATCGGTACCTTGCCACCCATCGAGTGGTAGACCGATTTCCCTCGGATTTGTGGGAAGGGGGTGATTGGAATCTTGTCTCTGCCCGTCCTGGGGATGTGTCAGCCAGGGGATGTCCCTCTCAACGGTTTGGGGAAGTATGACACTGTCACCGACATTCTCCAAATCCACTGTTCTTTTGGAGATGACACTAAACTTCACGGCTCCAAAACTCCAGGACAACCGCCCATCTATCGAGTCAAGTCCTGCCACAATCTCTTCTGAAAATGGGCGTCATCGACTACACGGCTCAGCTAGCACTCTTCCTTTCCCAGTTGAAATATGACGACCTCCCTGAGCAGGTTGTTGAGCAGGCGAAACGGGGGATTCTCAACAGCCTGGGTTGTGGATTGGGCTCCTCACAAACCTCGTCAGCGCAGAAAGTCTTTTCCTTGATCAACCATGCTGATCAAGCAACTCTCCTTGGTAGAGTCGACCGGGCAAGCGTGGAAGATGCTACATTGCTCAACGCCGTTGCCCTCACGGCAGCCGATTATGACGATACGCACCTTCGAACAGTGATTCACCCTTCCGGAACGCCCCTTGCGGCGCTTTTCTCATGGGCTGAGCACCGCCATCTGTCTGGCAAAGAGTTCTTGCTTGCCTTTGTCTGTGGAGTTGAAGCACAATGCGCGGTGGGAAATGCGATATCGCCAGGGCATTATCGGGATGGATGGTGAGCTAACTCCGCCCCTGATCGACCCAAGCTAATTTTCCGAGGCATATCACCGGGACGACTGGATCGTTTGGCGCAGCAGCTGCGGTTGCAAAGACACTAGATCTTGATTCACATCGATTCGCCGCGGCACTCGGACATGCATGCAGCATGGCAGGGGGAATCCGGGCAATGTTTGGGACGGATACGAAGACATTGCACATGGGGAGAGCTGCGCAAAACGGCATTCTTGCAGCAAGTCTAGCATTGCATGGATTTGAAAGCTGCACAAGGTCCATTGAATCATGGGCAAAGTTGGTATCGTCAACGGTCAATGAACAGCTGATATCAGCACTTGCACAAGATGGGAAATGGCAGATCCTGGAGAACACTTTCAAGCCGTATCCCTGCGGAATTGTCATACATCCACTTATTGATGGCTGTTTGGAAGCCTTTGCAGAAGACAAAGCTATCGCTGAGAAGCTGGATACCGTTGACGTCCTCGCGAATCCCCAATGCGTTCGGTTATGCTCAATTAGACATCCCAAATCCGGTCTGGAAGCCATTTTCTCATTGTATCACGGATGCGCAGTTGCATTAGTTCGAGGCCATGCTGGACCATCGCAGTTCACAGATCAGGCTTGCCATGACGTTGCGATTGCATCTGTCAGAGACAAGGTCAACGTTGCAACGGATGAAGCAATTCATGATGATGAAGCATATTTGACTTTCCGATATCATTGTGGTGCATCTCAGGAGAAGACGATCCATGTTCAGCACGCCATCGGCTCCTTGACAAGACCTATGACAACGCTGAGTCTCGAGGAGAAGTTCCTAGATCAAGCAGTACCAATTCTCGGAAAACACAGAGCTGAAATGGCGATGGAAGCATCCAGGAACCTTGAAAACGTCGGGGACATGGCGGATTTTGCTCGTTTATTTAGTTTGCTGCACCCAAGTTAAATCGTGAGCAAAAGGGGAACACTGGTAGCCACAGAGGAAGACATGTCTTGCAAAAAGATCCACCCGGCACCATCTTGAGCGCCCGAACACCTCGACAGCTCAGCCGTTCTCGCGCTTCGAACAAGGAACCGATTGAAATTCACCTCATAAATATTTGCGGCTTTCTTTAGCCTTTCATCCTGCTATCATGAGAGGCTCAAGGCTTAAGCACAGAATCTCTCGGTTATCCAAAATCACTTCACGCAATGACAGAGCACTTCCGGCTAGCTTGTAGTATTTGTCTCAGTCTGGTCTCGAATCCATCTCTACAAATCATCGCCTCCATTCACCCTCATCCCTTTCCGGCGCATTACGCATAACCATCATTTGCATGCCCCGAATCTGCATTTGTCGCTCATCGCCGATCTTCAGCGTGCCGTATGGGAGGGTGACATAGTCGTGATCAGGATCCCTGAACTAGGTTTCATAGCCACAAGAAGAGTTGCAGAATCTTCTTGGTGTACTTATGCGCCCAGTCTTGTAAGATCGTTCGAAGGAAATAAATGTCCAGGGGCTACAGGCTGGGGGTCCCAAAAGTTGTGCCCATGAAAGCTGATCCGACTCTTCACATGGGCAGGAACGATCGACGTCGAAGGAGCTGTCGTCTGGGCAATTGTCCTTGAGAGATCCTGGACAAAACATGTAAGCGTTGGATTTGCCTCAAGAATGGCAATGCTACCATTGCCAAGGCTACCGCCGACATCGAACGACTCTTGTATGAGATAGACCGTTCCATTCAAACGCGAACTCGATGTGTTCGTGTGACGGCAGTGGCGATTTTGTGAACTGATTCATGACGGCGTGGAAGTCTGCGCCAAACTCCGGGTGCTGTTACTCAGTGGTGGTACTCGAACAAGGATAGATCGGCATTTTCGAAAACATTGAATGCTGTCGCGTTGGGGTCCGGTGAGCCACTTCCCCATTTCTCTATCGCATTATTGAAACGGTTTGCAATCGGCCATCCGTGATCTCTTGAATACTTGCTCAGGGTCGCAAATCCATCCCTGAGGAGAGGCATTGATGTCTGCGTATCAGCCAATTCGCCATCGACTTCGACCTCGACAAAAATGTCCTCCGTCATGGCACATCATAGGTCACGTTTCGGTTGAGATTCGTCAACTCCAACTTTGTTGGCCAATGCTACGTAGGATATGGCCTGTCGGTTGGGACCCTGGCTATGGAGAAGCACTTGATGTATCGTAATGCCAAAAGATCCATAATCTAGAAAACATTTTAACTTTGGTCTTTTGAACATGCGAGAACATACGCGTGCAGAGACTCCTTGCGTTAGGATGAACTCGGGCGGCGTCACCATCAGGAGAAGATTCTGCACCGATTCAAACAAGGATACACGTATATCTCGTAGTTCTGCATCACGTTGATGCGCCGATTTCGTCCCTCCGTTTACGAGGTTGGAGCTTTCAAGTTTGCGGCTGAACAAGCCTGCCTGCACCAGACATGTTATAGCGAGAGTTTCAAGCCCTGAGAGGCTGGCGTTTGTCAATGCCATCTTGTTTATGGTCTGGACTAGGACAACGTCTGGTGCACTGCAATAGGAAATACCTAGGGATATATAAAGTATGCTGAGTATGCCCTAACCGCTGTCTCAAAGGCTGTCCGTGCGGTTTGACCTCCCGATGGACCATATCGTCATGGAATCCTAACAATTCGCCAGATCACTCAGCATACACGAAAGATGTTGTGCCTGATGACCTTGAGACGGAAACTTCTTGAGGTGTTCATGATGCCGAAGGTAGTCAGCAAAGATGCTGTTGACAGGGTTGCAAGATAGCCACTGTGGCAAACATTCTGAGACGCTAGAGCTGTTACACCAACTGTGGCACTTACCTCAAGACCGTTAATCTCACCGACCGGCAACAGCATGGCAACAGAATAGGAGGTTTCAGGATTGGCCTTTAGTTTATAGGCTAAAGTGTATATAAACAGGCAGAGTCTCTCTGAACAGGAAGAGGGGCAAGACACAATCAAGCAGATAGATCCACTCTCACTCTGTGTACAACGGAAGTAATAGTATGGATATGGATGATATAGCCTGGTGTTGAGCCTGTGAATCGATCTTCATGCCGAAACCGCTCGCCTCGAACTTCTAAATCCAGAATTCAAGGGGCCGTGTTCGTGTTGCTTCAGAAGCTGAAGCTTCCGTGCGTCTGAAGACAAGCTTGCACGATCCGACGAGCTCTGTGGGGGTCCTGAAACCTTTCTTTTCGGGGAACGGCGATGCCACAGAAGTCACATGAGCAGAAGAATCGAGCCGCAGCAAAAGCATCTACAAAACACCATCCTCGCTGAAAAGATGATGAGGGCGTTTCGGGAAAGGAAACTCCTGGTCGCAGGTGGAGATGCTGATGGAGGAGTGAAGACACTCCCCTAGCCTCAAACAGTCCTGTGGTTTCCAAAACAGGAATACCTTTGTGAGAAACTAGACTCTGTGTGAATATCGAGGAGAACGTTTCTATTGACAGGGGCAATAGTATCGAGATTAGAAAAGCGTGTCTCAGCAAGCCCACAGTCAGGGAAGGTCTCTAATTCCGAATGTTTAGGTCATAACACGGGAAAATGCTATCACGATCTCCGGACAACGAACATGATGTGGTAGTCGAAATCCTAACAGACGAAGATGCTATAGCATGCGGCCCGTTCTTAGTTGGACACGTGCGCTATATCACCGCAAAAGTGGCTTTAACTGCAAGAACCTAAGCGGCATCACCATTTCTCTTTCCCCACGTATACCTTCCAATGTTTGTGATCAAATCCCTCACGAACATCACCTACGCCATTAATTGAGGTATCGAAGACCTTCGCGTCGACATAGTGTTCGAATGCAAAGCCCATTCTCCCATGCTTTGTGAAAGCGCCGAGCAGACCTTTGGGCATCGGTATGAATACCCAGTTAGGGTGTGTCTGAATGGGATATCCGTTAGATTTCAGAGAGAATCCTGGCAGCAGCAGGACGAGGAAAGCGGATAGCGCTCTCTTGGAAGATGTATTGTGGTGTGGGATTTGACTATGGGGAGTGACAGGAACTCACAACTGGATAAAGTATTCTTGCGTATGAACACTCTTTCCTAAATTCTCTAGCGGCTCCTCCGCTATTAAATTGCAGGACTGGCTCGAGAGGGTGGATGGACAGAAACGCGGTCTCTGGCCACGGGAATTTATCTGGTGGCATTCTTTCCTGGTCGTTTTGAGCGAATGTTTCAAATGTGATGAAAAGCCCGATGTGCTTACGGTGACTTCGTCTTCTTCGGCGGTATAGGTGTAATAACGGTGGCGGTCAACAAAGACTTTGGCAGGCTCTTCACAACATATGTCAGCTTCAAGTACAAATAGATTTTGACTATAGGGTCAGGCTTTCTCACCTTCGCTATCTGCTGGTGGTAGTTCAATAATGGTGGTCATGACAGGGTTGAGCTTTATGAAGTTGTTTCGGCTTCGATCCTTACCAGTGTATCTCCATTATCAATATATCATTGCATCTTGAATCCTGGCATGGAGCGATCCTCCGTTTTTGCTTGGTCAAGAAACCATCAGCCGATCGTTGTTCTGTACTCGTCAAAATCAGGCAAGACGCACGTTAATTAATCATCGGAGAAAGTTCTGGCAGTCAGCGGCCCGACCCATCAGGAGATGGCCTCAGCAGTAGTCTCGATAAAAAAAGTTGCCTAGCCTTGGCGAGGAGAAATGAAGAACCAAAATTCTTCGAATTGTCACGCAATCGCCGGGCATTGCATTTTCTACTCGTAGCTACCATTGGGTGAATCTGGGGGTTTAGCGCAACCAAATGCGGAATCGGATCGCATGATCCGGAATTTTAAAACATATCATCCTCTCATGACATTCCAGATCACACTGGGGAGAAGCCAAACCTTTGGATATCATATATTATGCAAATCTTAAATCCGTATTATCGAAATTGGATGCCGGTCATAGTAATGGAACGTAGAATATTTCCAGGGATTTAAGCAGTGGATATCGGATATTCCCTACCAGAAACTGCGTTCGGTAGGGCTCAGGGTTAACCGTATGAGAGTCGAGAGGATAAGGCTGAGGTAATAAGGGTTAGTCCTTAGGGTTAGGGGGCAAGGCTTCTTAGATGAGATATTAATTGCTGACCTATAAATATGCAAACCCTCATCTCAGCCAGCCCACTCCTATAATGAGTGAGTAATTCTGATGCCAGTTTCTCGATTTGCTCTCACAAAAGTAAAGAAAGTCCCTCAGCTGGCCTGGATGGTACGGCTTGCTGAAAGACCCGTTATACTTGGCAGCAGTCCAGCTGAGTCTTTCCCACCAATGGACAGGATGGCCAAGCCGAGACACGAATATCGGCGATCGTGGTTCAGCAGATGAGCTGTGTCACTCATTTTTGATCTCCTGTATTCCCATAATCCGTTCTTCTTGCCAAAATAAAAATTCGAATGCTATAATTAGGGGAATGAAAGCAGGTTTGAGTAAAACTTACGATCAGCCGTTGGCTCAGAAGTGGTAAGCTAGCAACTTTCCAGTCGTTTCATCTATCAGTCTGTAAGATGGCTACGGCGAGCTTGACTTATGATCATGAGTTTAGTTTCAGCTGAACAATTTTAATGACAGCTGAATAGCTACAAGTAGTACCCAGCATGCAAACCAGCCAAGTCTAAGAATGACCGCCACGCCAGTTCTCCGTTGCAAGAGACGGATTTTGTAATATACCTTGATCTGACTCCTTCCATTACTTCCTTTTGCCATTTTTGTAAGGCGTGGTCTCATCATCCCGGAAGCACTCTCGATAATTTGAACATCATGACATCTAGTTTAGTCCCCGACTACGAGGTCAAGGTCCTTCTGAAGCCCACAGAAGTACTTGCATCAAGCAACAGGCTCAAAGACGCAGTCCAGTCAGAGTTTGACATCATGCCAGGCACAAAGAAAATGAACATCCAATTTGTGGACACTGAGAAAAAAGCTATATACACCAGCGGCTGGAACCTACGCATTCGGAAGACAGAAGGCAAAAAATACTTCGAGTTAACGTATAAGAAGCGTTATCCAGTTAAGGAGGGATACTATTGTACCGCGGAAGGCAACATTAATACAGCGCTCGAGACGGCCCTGCAAGAAGGTTTCAACTCGGCAACTACCTACGGAGCGCAGGTTGAGGTAGGGTACCAGGAGCAAACTCTCTCTATCAGCTACGATGCGAAACTTCCCGACGAGGGTTTCGAAGGAATGGACCTGCCCGATCCGAAAGACTCGCGCAAGTTTCTTACCGAGAAAGCACCCAAAGAATTTAAGAATTGGTCCTCCGAAGACTGGGGTACGCAGCATCTCGCCAACTCCATAGTTTACGGACCAGTGCACGCTAAGCGGTTCGAAGGTATTTGGGATGGGTTCAAGCTGTTCATTGAAGTGTGGCCAATTCGGAAGAGCAAGACAGATGAGAGCCTTGAACTCATCGTCGAGGCGTCATTTAAGACGCCTGACTTGAAGAAGGCGCTGGAGGGACGCGCTCGGCTCATCAAATCTTTACAAAAAAGAGCCTGGATCCTAGACAAAGATTCTCTGAAGACAAAGCTTATCATGGAACGGTACGGAACGTCGAACGAGTAGAGACCAAAATTAGTTAGCTTGCGGCGGTACTTCGCTCGTCTTCTACCATGGCTTCACGAGGAGGGGGTCGGGGTCGAGGGTCGAGCTCTATTGGCTCTACCACCCGTACAATCGTTGGGCTGTGGCTGGAGCCAGAAGAGTGATTCATATCCGCGACGTATCTTAATGCGACCGGAAATAACTATCTGGATTGGCAAATACTCCGAATGTGTCGAACTGCGCGTCGCGCAAGGCCGACTGCCAATATCATAGGTTTGGGGTGGCATACACCAGTCGTTTATAATCGTGTCCAGATAGAGGAGTCTTTTCCAAGAACACATGCTCGGATCTGAAAGATTTATTGGTGTCGAATGTCGCTGCCAAATATGCCAAGGATCCCACTAAAGGGCGGAACGCTTGGCAATATCAATCCACGCTGTGCTCAAGGCGGGTTTCCGTAGCATCGAGCCCATTCAAGCGATATAGTATGACCGTAGACGGGCCAGCCAAGATCTATGGTGGTGTGATTGATCATATTTGGGCGTCTTCTCAGGTCTGGCCTTGTTGCGATTGGCAGACTGGATAGCGCACGCGGCTTCTTTTGCAGAAGGAGAGGGTTCGTACCCTTCTCACCATGGCACCAAAGGGTATTATATTATAGGCTAACTCTAGTATTCCACTGGCTGATGTTACGCTGATGTCTCAGCAGCAAAAGAAAGTTGAATGTGGCGACCGTCGAACAAATTTAAAAGTCAGACCTGCCCCTCGCTCCTGGGTTGTCTCGGATCATATTTTCGGACCTGAAATTTTGACGATATCATCCGAGATACCAGTGCTACAGCGATGGCTCTCCATCAATTTGACTACATTTTTGCTATTGGAACCATCTTTGCATTCCTTGACGCATGGAATATCGGCGCAAACGATGTCGCCAACTCCTTTGCGACGTCAGTTTCGTCCCGATCCTTGACCCATCTGCAAGCAATGATGATCGCCTCGGTAATGGAATTCGCTGGCAGGTATGCATAGAACTAGATTAAGGTGTGGAAGGCTTTGATGCTCATATTTCACAGTATGGGAGTGGGTGCTCGCGTCGCTGACACGATTCGAACAAAGATTATTGATGTGGACCGCTTCGAGGAGAACCCAGCTCTGTTAATGTTGGGCATGGCTTGTGCTGTCGTGGCATCCTCGACCTACCTCACTATTGCGACCAAGCTCGGCATGCCAGTATCTACAACGCATTCCATCATGGGAGGCGTGATCGGTATGGGAATTGCATTAGTTGGCGCCGACGGTGTCATATGGTGGGGAGGGGACGTCAATTCGGGTGTGGTCCAAGTCTTTCTCGCCTGGGTTTTTGCTCCTCTCATCGCAGGAAGCTTTGGATCTATTATCTTCCTTATCACCAAGTTTGGGGTCATGCAAGGCAAAAATCCACTTATGAGAGCCTTGATAAGTATCCCAGTCTATTTTGGTGTCACCTCAGCCCTTCTTACCAGTAAGTGTTCTGAAGCCCGAGTAAAATTGATGACACTGACAATAGAAGTGCTTATCGTCTGGAAAGGAGGATCCTCCAGAATCTCCATCAGTGACTCTGAAACTGTTGGCATCATCATCGGCGTCGGGGCGGCTGTTGCCGTGCTTATGGCCACTTTCTTCCTCCCGTGGCTGTATCGGAAACTCTGGAAGAACGACTGGGAACTCAAATATTACCACATCATTGAAGGCCCGCTTCTGTTGTGGCGACCAGATCCACCGCCAACACCTGAGGGCTATTCTGTTGTGAAAGACTATTACCAGGGTCATAAGACTATGGAAGAACTGGAAGCTCATCGGGCTGGCGGTAGCTCCCAAGCCAAACTTGAAGATCCAGAACGCAACGGTGAGCTCGACAAAGGAAATGGAATTACCGCTTCTGGCGAAAAAGGTTCAAGCTCCCACGATATATCACCTCCATCTTCCTCGGAGACACAACATATCAAAATTGTTGGACCCCGACCAGAAGGAAAGAATACCCACCCCAAGGTTCTCTTCTGGCACTTTAAGCGTTACTTCTTCCGAGGTATTGAGAAGGATGTTGTCGCCCTCCAGAGCAAGCGTAATATCTTGTCTGGCGATCTTGATTTGATGCACGCCCATGCTGCCCATTACGACAACAAGGCAGAGTACTTGTACTCGTTCCTGCAAGTCATGACTGCGGCTACGGCATCGTTCACTCACGGTGCAAATGATGTTTCAAAGTATGTCACAACTGCTATTTAGGCTCTTCTAACCGCTCACTGACCTGCGTCCAGTGCCGTTGGCCCTTATGCGTCCATATACTACATCTGGTCTACTGCTCAGCTCAAGTCTAAGAGCCCCGTACCCTATTGGATTTTGTAAGTTTTTGCAAGCAGGGTCAATTCTCACCCGGAAGACTAACTCAGGCCAGGGCTTTCGGTGGTTCTGCCATTGTCATCGGTCTCTGGACGTACGGCTACAACATCATGCGCAACCTTGGAAACCGTATTACTCTTCATTCGCCGTCCCGAGGTTTCTCAATGGAATTGGGCTCTGCCATCACTGTCATCATGGCTACGAAATTGAGTGAGTCTTTACCCCTGCTAGAACACCCAGTTCTGCCTGTCTTCCTGGATTCGGGATCCCTTCTCGAGTCACTTCATCTATATACTAAGGACCTAAAGTACGTGCACTGACAAATCTGAATAGAGCTTCCCATATCCACCACACAATGCATCTCCGGAGCCACCGTTGGCGTTGGTCTGTGCAATGGAACATGGAGGACCATCAACTGGCGTATGGTTGCCTGGATCTACTTTGGATGGATC